GGACCAATAATTAGCATCACCCCCACTGGCTAATACTCTGTATTGAGCCATGAAAGGTCTACAGACTGACCCGTCACAGAAGAAGGTGAAGATCTGAATTAATCAGTTTCTCCAGACACTTTGGCTTTAGATGAGGTGCATCTTTGTTAGGAGCATGCCACTGGAACTGTAAAATCCTGTGGAGCAATGCTGTTAGGAGGGCTGACTATGCTTTATCAGCAAAATTCCCTGCAGGACTAGTCATCATCAAAGACCTTGCTTTCAAGGACCTTACCCTACCTGGCTGGAATAAGACTTGGTTGTGAAGCCACTTCACAGAACCACAGAATATTCTGAGCGCGGCGGCCGCGGCCGGGCTCGCCGGTGGCCGGGCGGCGGGGGAAGGATGGCGTACTTCGTGGAGAGCTTCTGGGTAGGGCAGCGCCGCGGGCCGGTAACGCCGCGCCGCCGGCGGAACGGGCAGGGCGCGGCGCGGGGCAGCCGCAGTCCCCGCTGCGAGAGCAGCCTCGGCTCTTACGCCACCCCCGGGACTGGGCCGGGGCCTGGCGGCGGCGGGTTCGTGCCCGGCCCAGCGGGGCTGGGCCCCGGTGAGCGGGGTACCTGCAGCCGCGGCAGGGCAAGGGGACCGCCGGCCCTGCCCGCGCCGCCGTGCTGGGGCTCCGCTGCGGAGCGACGGCGGGAAGAGGGGTGGGTGGTGTAGGATAGGACAGTATGGGACAGGATAGCACGGGGTGGGTGGTTGCCGCGAAGCGCTGGGCCGAGGGTGCGCGGACGCCGCTGTGCGCGCAGGGGTCCGGCGCTCGCAGTCAGCACGGTGCCCGGGCTGACCGGGCTGCAGTGACTCTTGGTGCTCTACGGGAGAACGGCTCGGGCTGTCGCAGCTTCGCGTTTGCTTCACGCCAAGGCAGAGCTGCGCCTCGGCGCTCCGCGCTTTTGTACCGGTAGCTCGTCTCCGTGTGCCCGTGAGGAGGTACGGCCGAGCAACAGCCGGCTTAGGGAAACAAGAGGCTTTCCAGTTTCCTTTGGACATGCGGGCTTGTAAGTCATCTCTGCGCAGATATCTGGTTTTTGAAATGGGAAATACATATGGATAAAAAAGTTAAATGGATTGAGTTTCGCGTGAAATTTCATTGTTTTCATTGTGACCATTGCTAGTTTGAAACCTTAAAATAAGTGTTCTCGTAGTCACCGGACTGTTTACAAAGCTTCTTCTTATTTAATTTTTTGTGTGTCTCTCTACCAAGAAGTAGCAGAAACATAAAAATTGTTATCGCTTGAGGCTGAAGTGAAAAAGAGACAAAATATCTTTAGACGGACGATGTTGCAGTTGTAAGCAGCAGTTATGCTTAAAGTTCAGGAAAAACTAATTTCACAATTACCCTGTTGTTGAATATAAGGCATAGCTCAAGTTTGTGTTTTGTTTGCAATCTTGTGTTTAGTTCTGACTCCTTTGCTTTCAACATACTATTAAAATTTAATGACCCAAGAGACTAGATTTGCTCTCTTACAAATACAAATCTGCTTAATTTGAAGCCTCAGTGGGGGAGATCAGTATTAAAGTAACATGTGGAAGAATTTTATTTTTCATAAAAATGAGATTAAAATTAATACAAAAAGATTCATTTTTATTGGAAAAGCTTCTGTTTTCTCCTAAGATTAAAGCAAAACAGAAGTCATTTATTCAGCTATCACAACTGAAATTGAGCTTTTCTATTAAGCTTTGTTATGTACTGTGATATGTTCATTTAACTGTCTCATCAGTTGTGTTTTGTTTTGTTAGTAAGTCAGTTAAATTGGTGAAGGCAGTGGGCCATTCCCATATGTTCTGTTTCCACGTCTGTGTCTTCACAAATGCTTCCAGCAAGTAGAAGATATCTATGTAGAAGTTATCTACCTCAAATTCCCATTTTTCTCTTTCTGCTTTAAAGAGTCTCTAGCTATAGCTTTGTTAGCAAAACCCCTAGTGTGGGTTACCAGTGAGTCAAGACATGGGTGATTCCTTCTGTTGGTACAGGTTTTTCTCATATGTCAGAAATGACACGAGGTAGGACAAGAAGTTTGAGTTTGTCTTGTGATGATGACAAAGACATTAGACAGGGTCTTAACTTGCAAAATTTCACCAAGAAATTTTTGTGATACCATAGACAGGGTTTTGTTTTGTGTTAAAAGGCATAGGGAATGCTCCTTCTTTCCTGCTGTGGGTGAATATTTTTCAAGATTTAACTGTAATGATGGATTTGAAAATCTGAAAGTATTGAGTTTCTGTATATCCTCAGAAGTAGACATAAATTATAGGTTTGTGCATTTTTAATCATTAGTTATCTTCATTTGCACTAATATTTCAGAATAGGTTATTGTTCAGAATTGCTACTGCTTTGGAAGACTTGGGAAGCAATCCATGTAGGCTCTGAATTGTGCTGAGAAAGTTAAGATGGGAATTAGAAGATACATGAAAATGCACTGAATGCATGATGACTAAAAATAATGAAGAGAAATTTGCAAGGAAAGTAGTAGTGTGTAGAACTTCAGAAGGATTGTGTTGTCATTTCTTCCTTACTCTTCCAGGTAATCCCAGACAAAATATTTTTTGAAATGTGGAATAGGATAGTTATGCTTTATAAAACAGTGATTTAAAAGGTATCCAAAACATAATTAATATTCAATTATTTGACATAGATGTTGGCATAAACTTGCAACTGAAATTGTGCATTGGAAATAGAAGTCTGGATCTTAAGCTGTATGATACTCTCCCTTAATTTAGTAATTTGCTATAAGTAACAGGAAAAGAGATCAGAAACTTAAGGGACTTTAATGATTTTTCCAGTAAAGGGGAGTGACATGTGTATGAGTGTATCAATTTCTTACACACTATTTAAGCTGCTGTTTTCCTAAATGTGCTCATGTAAACAAAACGAATCTTACCTTCTTTGTTGTAAGTCTTGAAAATTGTCTTGAGGCTTTCCTCTTGCACTGCTTTTGAAAGTGTTTAAATAGTTACACACTTTGGTTTTGTTGTTGTTAGAGGATACAAGAAAATTAGATGAGCCTGCTAAGTCTTCGGTGTTCTGTAGGAGGTCAATGAGATTGACAAATAAGACTGTTTTGAGGATGTGTGGAGCTGAAGTACAGAGACCTCTACTGTCACTTTAAAAATTTGCTATCATTTGAAAAATGTAAGGGTCTGCTAATGCAGGATGACATTCTAGAGCAATTTTCAAGCCAGGAGGATATTTTTGGGTATCACAAGTTATGAACTAGTAGTACAGGCTATAAGTGGCTTTGATTCTTATAATTGAGTTTTATGCATTCAAGTCACATGTCCAAATATTCCCAACTCCTAATTAGTATTGTCATAAAACAGTGCATGCTTGCTGCAGTGTATATGCTACATCAAAACAATGTCATAATTTAAAGGTAACACTATCATAAACTATTTCTGTTAAACATAGCTACATTTTGTCACTTTGAGTACACTGTTACTGGTATAGGAGTATAGAAAGTGTTGTTTATCATTGACTTATTGGTTTCTTAACAGAAAATATTGCTTAGACTTTGATGTTGTATTTAAACTGACCAGTGCAGGTGATTCTTATGACATAGTTTAAAGGAATAACTACTGACAAGTCAAGAAAAATAAGCACCTTCCAAACCAGTCAGTGGTTGTTTATGAAGTGTTTAAAATTAACAAAATTAATTAAGCTATTGGAAGTTCTATGAACTGGAAGTTCTGTGAATAGTTCTATTGGAAGTTCTATGTAACTGTGCTTTGGAAGTTCTGGCATATAAAAACGTGTATAAATTGGCTTTGAAAATTTAAAAAAAGTTTTTAATGGTTTGCTTTGCTTGTAGCTTTTGAGAATGGCTGTGTTGTTGATGATTTGTGGTTTTTTGGTTTTTTTCCAAATACTTTTTGTAGAGCATAAAGGTTGGCAGTATACTGGTTTAATAATTATAATTTTGTGAAGAAGCTTTCTCTCTTAAGGGTAAGATGTATTGTCTTACAAACTTGTGGGTATAAGAGTGGCACAAAGACTTGTCATGCTGACATCTGGAATTATATCCATATGTCTGTGTGCACTACTCCTCTGCTGGGCATACAGCTGGATGCTCTGTTTCAGGAGACCTGTTGTGCAATATTTACTTAGTATCCTCTCTGTAAGAGTGCATGTAGTGTGAGTTGGCAGCCTTCCACCTGTTAGTTAAAAAATATTTTTAGTTACCTATATATGGTGGGAAATCTTTGTCCTTCCTCATATGCATAGAGCTTTTCTGGAGCTGATCTTTATTTGATATTTTGAAGCAGGAAGAATTGAAGTTGACAGGTTGAAGTTGACAGGTTGTTTTTGTGTCCAGTCTTCTCAAAACTTTCAGAACTGAAGATGATGTATTCATTACCTGTGTAAGCATCCGGTGACTGCTTTTCTTTCACATTTTAATGCTCTCAGCTCTTTCAGATACTCATAAAGTGAAACTTGCAGATAGGTAACTTTCAAAAAATGTAAGACAATAATATTAATCACATATAGTGTTTTTATGTATAATAGGCCCATTAAATTAAATTATTTTCTAGGTGGAAAGCATGGAAGACATGTTATTTATTTGAAACTGCAACAAGGATTAACAGTTTAAAGAACATGCCAACAGTATTTGTCAGAGCATTTAAAATGAGTTTACATAGTCCTGAATTTAGTATCTGACCAGTCAGAGTCACCATAATGTAACCATTTATTTGTACTGGGTAAATAGAAAATGGTGTAACCTTTTTACACTAATAGATGTTAATGTTGAACAGTTTTAATCCAAAGGAGACAGAGCTTGCACTCAAACAATTTGATTTGAAATATAGAAAATAAATGCTGCTGCAGTTTGCCTAGAAATTTCTGGCTATTGTACTAAATGGAGATTTTAAATTCAGAACTTTTTTTGCAACAAAGAAACTTATTCTTAAAAATGTGAAGTATTTTAAGTTGTTCAGTCCCACAGAGTTCCTGTAATGTGTTTCCTGTTATGCACAAGTCATGGAAATGCTGATTTGTGACTACACATTTGCTGACAGGGCTACTTTCATTTCCATGAGGAAATCTTTGAAACTAGTTCTTGATGAAGGGAAATGGAAGGACTGGTTGCTCTTGCTTTCCATGACTTAATTTGTTTTGTGTACAAAGTTGGTCAGTAATGCTTTGTCGTAGGTTTATTTAAGTGTTTACTTGTATTTGAAGTATTGTATTGTTTACTTGTATTTGATTGCTTTCTCTAATGGCTTGCTCTCAGGGGACATCTGTGCTGTAGATACAGGAGAGATTTCTTACAGTAGTATAGTATAGGAAATCTCAGATCAAACACAATCTTCTGAAGAGAGTTTTGTTAGCTCTGAGCAAGGAGGAGAAAACTGCTAATGGATTTCAGAGTAATTAAATGGTACCTATAGGGAGAGACTTACGTTTTGCACTCTCATACACATTTTTACATTTTTTTTTTATTGAGTAATGACAGGATCACCCTCAACAGATGGTAGTTTACCTACAAAATGACATTCAGAATGGTCTTTTAAAGTGATCTGAAAATCTGTTACCTAAAGCCTGATATTATACATGACAACAGAAGATTGTCTTTCTCCACTATGTGACTTAGGGAAGAAGAATCTGCATCTGACTTAAATATTTGTTGTACCAGTGAATGGTAATTGCTTATGAATGGGAGTGCAAAGTTTCATCAGTTCCCTCTGGTATATGCTGCATTAATTTATTTTTAAGTAAGCTAGTACTGGTCTTCCAGTGATCACAACTATTACTGTTGCCACTAGGAAGGAGCAAATAAAAATGAAGAAAGGTGTCTAAGACACAAAATTTCCAGAATTCTATACAGTGTGTGTGGGAAGGAGAAATGTTGAGAAAAGACAACCAAAACACAAACAGTATTGATGGCATATGTGCATGTAAGAGGATAAATACTTGGCTTTTGTAAATTGAACAACTTCTCCTTTTCCCACCACATACATCTGTCTTGTTGTACAGAATACAGAGCCTTAACTCTGATTGCTGCTCTTCGTTAATATAACTATGGAATGGAGAAGTTGTGGAAAGACTGTATAGTTTTTTCTAAAGCAGAACATCTACCTCTCTGCATTGAGCCACTGTACTTAATTTGGTTTGGGTATGTGTATGTCTCCAAACACAAGAAGAATCATCATCAGGTTAGTTGTCAGAACTTCTGGTCATGTGAAGAGTTTTGAAGTCTGGATGTTTGTGCTTTTAGATAGAGCTTGATACAGGTAATATACATTACACTTCACATTATATTTACAAGTGAAGATATGTCTTTAGGTGTGCCAGACTTAAATCAAATAGGCCCTCAAATCTGTGAGCCTGCTTTTGACTTGCTGCTTTTTTTAAACTTTAATGTCTTTTGCACATAGGTTCTTAACCTCTGATAACCATTGGTAGTGTATAAGAGATGAGGCTTTCAGGGGACTCGGCTGAGGAAGGTATCTGTTCTGTTTCTCTGTCATGCTTTCTACTATTCATTGTGAAGTCATGAAAAATAATAAGACTGATTAGAAGAACTAATTTAAGTGGAAAAACTATTTCCTTTGCAGTAACCTTCAGTTACAGTTAGAGAACAAGATAATAATGGCAGTTGGTTGCTCAGGCTCATTTCATTCTCTAAAGATTTGTGTGGTTACATTTCTGACGGTTTATCAGGAACGCTGCAGCCAGAGGCTGGGTCATGGCTGTGCTACCCTTCCTGCATTTCTAAATTGGCAGGAAATTTATAGAACTCCATGTAGAAAAGGCCCCTTTAAAAGCTTCCATTATGAAAAGTTTAGAAGTGGCCTGTGTTCAGCACATTTTGGTAACATGATGGTTTAGCTAGAAGAAACACCTTAAAGCAAAAAACATTTCACAAAGGAGAATTTTATTAGTTTTTCAGGAAGAAATGGCTAACATTTATTTGTAATGTTTATCTGTAAATTTGGGTACAGTACCAACTTTGGAGAAGAAATAAGAATTATATTCTGTATTCTAATTGAAAGTACCAGTGAAGTCTTAATTACAATGCAGTGGCATTCAGGGTTTATATTAAGTAACTACATAAAGTTAATAAGTTAGTGCACCAGTATTCAGAGTTATTGTAGGCTTTAAACTACAAAGAAAAATGTTTAAATAGGGGTGAAAGGGGAAAGAAACTATTTAGACTGGTATTTGAGTAGGACAACATTTAAATAAAGTTGCATTTTCTACTAATCAGTGTTCTTTTCTTTCTTTTACTTTTCAAGTTTATAAAAGCCTTTCTCTGTGGAGAGTCCTTTTAGAGTTTGCTGTATTTTCATGTGTTGTATTTAGTTTTTTATACTTTTTCTATAAAAAGTATAGCACTGTAATTGCACTTACACCAAACTAATCTGAATTTTGGTGCACCTTTTCAGGTTACAGCTTACTTCAACCATGGAAACTATAATTTTTAAGGTGTTGGGTTTTTTTTTTCCTTTGGTTTGTTTTTCCCTGTGCTTGGAAAAGAAGTAAAGCAAATAATCCTGACTAGTAATTTGTATCAAATTGCCTTCAGTTATCTATTGTTTGTAAATTTATGTGTCTCTCTATGGTGTCCTTTAAGGCAACTTGAAACTTAGTGGAAATGGTCTTAATACCACGGCTGCTGTGAAGTTTTTCCATCCACCCATGACTGCTTCTCCTTATTTAAAGACGTCAGATCCCTGCATGCCTTCTCCTCCTAGCCCCCCCTCTTCTGCTGAGCAATACAGCTTGTTTGTTTCCTTGCAGTGATCTGGATCAGTGATTCTTGGTTTGTTTGCCAGCTTTATTTTCAAGCTGTATAATTTCCCTGATAAGGTTTGCTTTATGGTTGCATAAACAAATTTTTGCAGAACTGAACAGGCAGAAATGTTTGGAAGGGTATAAGCCCAAATTCTCAGGCTTTTCTCACTGACAGTATAGACCTGCCTTTGTTAAAAGTTCAGGATTTTAAGAATGATGTGAAACTATTTGAATGCATCCAGAAGAGGACAACAAGGTTGATGAGAGTGCTGGAAGACATGTCCTGTGAGGAGCGACTAAGGACTTTGGGCTTGTCTAGTTTGGAGAAAAGGAGACTGAGGGGTGACATCATTGCTCTCTATAGCTTCCTGATCAGGGGAAATTGGGAGTGTGATGCCCATCTCCTTTCCCTGGGAGGTAAGGATAGGACGTGTAGGAATGGTTGAAAACTGTGCTGAGGAAGATTCAGATTGGACACTAGGAGGCATTTCTTTACTCTTGGAGGGTGGTCAAACACTGGAATGGGGTACCTAGAGATGGTAATCAGTGCCCTAAGCTTGTCAGTATTTAAGGGATGTTTGGACAATGCCATCAACACCATGATTAAACTTTTGGTCTTCTCCAAAGTGCTCAGTCATTTGGGCTAAATGATCACTGTAGATCCTTTCCAGCTGAAATAGTATATTCCATCCTATGCTATACCATCCTGTTCTTCTTTCCCTTCCACTCTGAACATGCATGCAGTTTTCCTGAGGGTGCAATTCGCACCTTATATAGAAGAAACATTATGGATCTGAAGCTTTTGTGAAGGAGAAGGGGAATGGATAGTCTGACAGGAAAACTTTAATAGTAGCAGTGCTGTTATGCTGTGCCTTGCCTTCCTTTCATTTCTGTTGTTGCTTTTTGCTGTAAGGAGGAAGTTCATCATAGTGCCAGAGGTCATAAGCTGGCTGAGTTTATTAGTCAGTGCTTAGAGCAGTGTCTCAGTTTTAGTAGTGAGGTGTGCCTTACTCACTGGAAAATGTCTTAAAACTAAACTTAAGAATAGACAGAGAAGCTACGAGTGAGAAGGAAAAGATTAGTAATTTTTTTAACCAGTTTTACAAAAAGCTGGAGAAGAGAAATGTGAAGGATTGGGGAAGTAGGATATCAAGTAATCTCAACTGAATTTTAGTTCATGTAAAATAATGAAAGAGATGAGAGGATAAATGGAGAGTATGGTATTTCGTATGTGTTTAATGTGATGGGAAGTGAAAGAATACAAGACTCCTAGAAATCTACAACAAAAACGTCTTTGACTATAGCCTAGAAATATGGAGATAGAAAGGTAGTGGTAGCAGCTGAGCTAATCTTAGGTTAGTTTACACATATGGGATTCGTGGGAACTAACTTTTTAACAATTGCTAAAAAGTAGACACATTAGAAATAATTAACTTCCTGATGAAGAGATTAAAGTGAAAAGTAGTTATGAAAATGCAAAGGTTCAGCATGTTGTGTTTCATAGTTCTACTTTCTGTTTATCTTTAGGGAGAAAGGAATAATGGCTTTGATGTCCTCTATCACAATATGAAACATGGACATTTGTCAACAAAGGATTTAGCAGATTTTATTAGAGAAAGGTAAGTATTCATCCTATATTTTTAATATAGTATTTGTGGGTTTTATTGTCATTGTGTTTAACAGTAGCATGCAAAATATGTAAACAAAATTCAATTATTTTAATATACCTCTCACATTCTGCAGGAATATCTATGCTTATTCCATTGGTTTAGAACTGAATAGGAACTCTTAAGCATCAGTTAATAACAAGCTTCTAATTTTCCAGGTTTCATTTAAAAGATGAGAATAAAAATCTTGAAGTGTTGTATTAGGTGTCCAGCAGTTTATCTAAATTAATCCCTGTTTTTCATTTGGAAGAAAAAGCAAGAAAAAGTATAAGATAAAGTTGCAAAAATTTTTTGCCTTGCAAAATTTTTCTGTAGATTTGGAATTAGGCTATTAGAAACTGCTGGTATATACTTCAAAAAAAAATAATTAGACTTTCAGAAGCTGAGACAGGTTTGTTAAAAAAAAAGAGTAATACGTAGGGGCGAGAAGATAATATACAGAAAATAACACAGGTTCTTCTATATTGGATGGAAGGAACAGGACTGAAATCTGAAAATTTGACTTCCAACTTCCAAAACAGGTAACCTAGTGCTGCATTTAATTCTTTGTGAAAGACTGCTGCTGCTACATTGAACATAAGAATTTCTCTTCTGAACAAAATTACTTATAGGCCTACTTTGGAATTTTGCCTTTCCTCACTTACTGACACTAGGTAACACATGGAAAATAGTTGCAAGGTATTGATTGAGGACCTGTTTCACTGCTGGCTTCTTGCAGCAGAAGCTGTCAAACTGAGATTCTTCAAAATTTGAATTTTGGCCTCAAATAGATCTCAGTTTAAAAAGTACTTTAAAATTTCCACAAAATATTACCACCATAAATCTGACAGATACTCCATTGCACTACCATTAGCATCATTTCAAAGTGAATTGGAGAAAATGACAAAAAACCATTTCACTAAGTAGAAATGGGTGAGTTCCAGAGGCCAAGTGTGATGTCTCCTTTTGTAAGGACTGCACAACCAAGGAATCTTCTCTTTTTCAATCCCCAGTTTCAGAGAATGAATTATGAAGCTACAAAGGGTTCTAGTGAAATCTGGAGTTGGATTCAGCAGAGGGATATCGCACTGTTCACATTTCATATAAATGCTTAGTGCTTCACAAACTTCCACTTTTAATATTTGTCTTTTATTATCTGAGTTCCTGAATCTTTCCTTTGATAGCTTCTTTAATTTTTGGAATAATTCAGTTTTTATACCAGCACATCATGGAACTAAGCTGTACTTTACCTGGACACATTTAAGTTTGTTGGTTTTACAGCCTTTGTGTTTAGATTTACCTCCATATTTAGATGAGAAAACATCTCACTCACTGCTTCTTGTCTCCTGTATGTTGTATTCTTTGGACATGCTCCATTTTATTCATATTGGTGCTAAGGTGAAAGATCTTACGTAAATGGTTAAAAAATAACTTGCTGCTATATCTGACTTGGTTTCTTTGCTTTGTTATACTGACATAAGTAAAACTTGACACTTCTTTCTGCACAAAATCCCTAGTAAAAAGAACAAGGCATTCTGGTTTTTTTTTCCTATCTATAAGCTTCTGAAAATTAAAATTTCAATTTAAATATTTTTAAATTTAAATAATTATTTTTAAATAACTTCTAAGTTATATGCCTTTGCAGTCAATAAAGAAAGTCTTTCAAACTTTTTCCGCATATTAAAATGTTTCAGCTCAGGTTTCTGCCAGTTATATCTAGTGTGTTAAATAACATTTAAAGATTAATGACCATGTATGAATACATGAGGATTCCCATGGGTACTTTATCCTCAATGAGAGTTCAAGAAATGCTTTTTTCTGTGCATGGATCAGGATGTGCCAAAGAGATATGAAGCTATTCTTCAACATCTTTTGTAAGATCTGTGAAAAAAATTCAGTCCTCATTAACTCACTAAGATAGAATGTGAGTGCTGTATTGCAATTTACTTGACAACGTTGCAATATTGTTCCTGAAGGGACCAGCTGCACTAAATTCAGTCCTTTCTAGTGATTTGCTTCCATCAGGATATTAAACCTGCCTTGTGTACTCTTCAGCTCTGTAGTTCTGCTGCCTCTTGATAAGACAGGCTGCAATAACAAAAAGCAGTTGAGGAACAGATTGATACTTCTTTTCAATAAGGGATGAATGATCAATCACAGCCTAAGCTAGTAGTAGTTTGTGATGTATAGTTTAGATTCAAAGAAATAGAGAGACTTCAAATATTTGGTGTCTTTACTTTGATAAAAATATTTGAGAGTCCAAATGCCTGCAGTGAAGCCCTTTGCTACTGTTGTGAAGTTGGGATGTCATTCAGTATCCTGGGAAATAAAAATTATTCAGTGGAACACATTTTTTCACATGGGCCAAATTCTTGGTCTCAAAAAGAAATTGGATTAGGCACTACTTGAACAGTACTTCATAATGGTTCAGTGGTCTTGTCTGTGATCTATTTTGTGTATTTGTTAATTGCAAAGAAGTTAAGAGATGATGCACACAGTTATCTGTTCTCCTCCTTCTGTAGATTATAGTCTGAATATTGTTGTATGGTACTGTCTGCTGCTGGAAATACAGTGGATGAGCAACATGTATTAGGAGCCATCTAGATCTAGTGTTTTTATGCCTTGGCTTTTGTGTACCTGATTTGCTGAACTCTTCCCTATGAAAACTAAATTTACATGCATTTGAATTTTGAATCTGTTTTTCCATTCCTTTTTACACATTGGCCATTTGCTGTCTTTTTTTTTTTTTCAGAAGTGGATACATAAGAGATTGAAAACTGAAAACTATTGCATAGGTAGAGACAGATCTGAATTGGTGGTAATACTTTTAACAAGTCAGAGTACTTACACTTTCTAGGTAGAGCAGTCATCTGGTCAGCTTGACTTCCTGGAATCTCCAGACTAGCCAGAAAATAGACTTTTTATGAAGTGATTTTGCATGGAAAGGAGAAATGAGTCAGTGTGTTTGGATGTACAGACTGCTTAGGGCACAAAAGACATGTCTTTGTGAAGCCCATCTCTGTTACTTGTGCTGTTCAGAATAGTGTTTTAGTTGTATGTAGCCTAACTGGGGAATAGTATTTTTTCCTTTTCTCCAGCCTTAGAAATGGTAATGAAAAAATGTGTAAGATATGGAATAACTTGAAAAATTATAGTTATCTTAAGCATTTTCTTAAAAAATATTTCAACATTTCTGTAGGAACATTCTGAGATTGTAAAGTTTTTTTGCTGAGAAAAACAAACATTTGAAACATATTAGTTTGTACTAATATTTCTATGCTGTATCTGCCATTCCTGCTTGATATCCTAGAAAGAGCAGAAGTTTTCCTCCTTGTCTGTGTTTGGTGACACAGTATTGTTACTGGTCACATATTAAAAGAACCAAGAGCCTGTTGGATCTGTGGTTCAGAAGTTTGTCATCTGAAGGAGTGAGTTTTCTGGCAGGCGTCTGCTTAATGTTGGTAAATCATGAGTGGAACAGGTTTTCTTCTTGCTGAGAGGTTAAACACCGGTTCTTAAAATCATCAAATCTTAGAATGGTTTGGGTTAGAAGGGATCTTCAAGATGATCAAGTTCCAACCTCCCCTGTTGTGGTCAGGGACATCTTTCACTAGACCAGATTGCTCAGTGCCCCTTCCAACCTAGCCTTGAATAAAGACCCTACTTCACTTATAAAGCATGTAGAAATTTTTGTTTGTTAAAGTCAAAATTAGAAGGTTGAGCTGCCTGCATAGTTTTTTTTTCTTTATAGATGTGGAAGATTTTGTAGGTGAGCTGTCATGCATTTGCGTGCATTTAAAATCTAAACTTTTTATATCTAAGAACTCACACTGTTTTTCTAGGAGAGAAGAAGGTACAGAAATGTGTTGTTTTTTCTCCAGGAATCTTTCTAATGTTTTTCTGCACCACTGCCTGTAAGCATCATGGAAAGAATCTTCGAGATCAGATGAAACTAGCAATGCATATGTTTCCATTTAACTTTTAAATGTTTGGCAGATCCCAGGCAAAGACACACATTCAAATGGATGAAAATTAATTTGCTAAGAAAATCATAGTCTGTTACCTGTACAGTAGAGTGCTCTGCGAAGTCAGTTGATAGGACAAGTGTACTAACTGGTCATCTTTTGGTTCTTAGTCTTTTTTACTGATATATGTTAATACTCTGTGGTGAATTGCAGAACTCCAGTTAACTCCAGATAGTTCAGGGAAGTATGCTGTAAATTGGTTCAAAGAAAAGGGAAATATACTTTGGTCAAAATTCTTGTGTTTAAACAGGAAAAATAAGTCACTGAGTTATAAAATCTGGAAAACCTTGATAGACTATACAGAAGATTATTCAAAATATATTGCTCATCATGGTAATTTAAAAAAAAATAAATCACTGTCTGTGCTTGGTGCAGTGTTACAAAACAGGAAAGAAATTACTCCAAGTTTTTAAAAAAAAGACAATTACAGTATTTACTCATATCTAGGACGCTTCTAAATCTAAGTTGACACTATATAGTGAATATTGTTTAGGGTGAAAAATTAAAATACTGTTTATCTTTAATAATAGGAGGGTGAAGAAGATTAATAGGGAAGGACTTGCAGGGCATCACTGCTTTAATAGGTGATTCCATGGCAATTCCCTCTGCAAAGGCTCTAAGGAGGAAATCTGTGCCAACCCTTGGATTTTGTATCTCTAAAAGACAAGTGATATTGTGTGTTCAAGTGAAGGAAAATATAAGAACACTTTGTGTAATTTCTAAACTCAACTGTTACTATGTGAAGAACTTAAAGGAAAGAACAGCCTACCCCCAACATTAAGACTAAACAAGACCTCATTTTGTTTTATGTGATTGCTCCATAAATATTTTTTGTTTATTGTAAAGTTTTCAATACAAATACATTTTATTTTGTTGCTGTGTAACACTCTCTTGGTTAGACAGTGCTGGATAGATGATTGTTGTGATGCTTTGTTCTGTCTGTTACTAAGGAGTTATAATGGCAGTTGAGAACAGCAAATAGAAAGGAAGGAATTGTCTTTTTCAAGCTTTGAGTTCCTGGGTTTTACTTGTTCTGCTCCCTGCAATGTTTTGTCACAGGGTTCTTAGATTATTTTTTAAAATATATTAATGTGATTTTTTTTTTTGTCTAGCTTTTGAGAGATCATTTAAATGGCGTAATTTTTAGTTCACATAAAAAGTCTTCTGTTTTGTAGCTGTAGAATGCATATTCAGTCTTCTTACCTTCAAAATTTTGATTGTACTTTTGATGACTTTCTTTGGCAGGGCTACAATAGAGGAGACATATTCAAGGTCAATGACAAAACTAGCCAAATCAGCAAGCAATTACACACAACTTGGGTAAGTAAGGGTACATAAGAGAGAAATAAGTGACTGTATACATGGTAAGAATCAAGTCAGATTCTGAATATTTTATTGATTATGTTGAAGGTTAGTATAACTTTACCTTTAAAAATGGTTGTTAGGTGTTTAGTAACCATGCAAAAATTTGTACAGACAAAGAGAAAGACAGTGCAGTTCTTTGAACTGAATAAAAAGAGCAAAGCCCAAACACAGATAAACTGTCTTTTCTTCTGTGTTTAAAGCATAGTTCTTTTTAGACTTATTTACCTCTATGATGTCCTCTCAAGCCTATGGAAATAATTTTGAAGAGAGAACATATGGCCTGCAAATGTGGCAGTGAATTTATTTATTTCTATTCTTTCTGGTTTCTGGAGTGTTACCTGTTCTCAAAGATGTTCAGAATGAGACTTTTCCATAGATTTATTCCATAGTTAAATGGAAGGTTTATACTTAGGGTATGTTTTTAAAAACAAGAATGATTAATGGATACTTTTCCATTGGAAAGATTAGGCCAATGAAAAGTCAGACTTCTGAGAAAAACTAGATTTAAAAAAAAATAGTAATGTAATCTAGAAATGTGGGAAGTTTTCGTCAGTGAATAGTTTGATAATAGTTGTTTCTGCTTTTTAAACTAACAGGCAGATGCAGAACCTTTGAACATAAGAACTTTAAAGCCTATGGTTAGTATTGATTTTTAGCAGCATTAACCAGAATAGCAAGGTAGAAGTATGTCTTTGGAACACTTGGACAAAGTCCGTTTAACACAGGAGTCTGAATCTGAGAAACGATCCCACCTCCTTGTTCATCTTTGTTAATCAGTAAATCCTTTTTAGTGGCACACCATCTTTGCCAATATTTTTTCCTCCATCTTGTGGCTGCAGTGATGTAAGACAGCTAGAGATGTAACTAACCAAGAAATTCCTGATTTGTTCACACTGTTCAAGTATACACATAGTAATATTTACTACATGTTAAATTATTTTAAGCTGTCTTGATGCTTGGCATTGTTGTATGCTCCTCGTAGTGTTAAATGAAATTTGCACTGTTTTACTTATTAGAGCCATTGCAAGTAAAACATTGGCTGTTTTGTTTGTTTAATTTTAGGAGGAGAAGTAAACTGTAAACATACTGATTATTGTGTAGCACTACTAAAAAAATTGCCAACTGAAAGAGAAAAAAATCCAGATTAACATTATTTTCCTCAATCCAGGACATTTGCACCAGTTTGGGATGTTTTCAAAATCTCAACAGAAAAACTAGCAAGTTGTCACTTGGATCTTGTGCGGAGATTACAAGAGCTAATAAAAGAAGTTCACAAATATGGAGATGAACAGATCAAAGCTTACAAAAAGGTTATTAATTCTTTTTCTCATGTTTGTCCAATGACTTGTTAACACTGAAATTAAAATGGTTTGTTTTTGACAACTATATGATGTTTGGCAGACAAAAGAAGATGTTTCAGGAACTTTGGAAGCAGTGCAAAATATTCAAAGTATCACTCAGGCCTTGCAGAAATCAAAAGAAAACTACAATGCTAAGTGTGTGGAACAAGAACGCTTGAAAAAGGAAGGAGCAACACAGAGAGAAATTGAAAAGGTAGCTGTCACATCTTACTTTAATTGTGCTATATTGTTATTGCTGCTTTTAATGAAGGAATGGGACCACTATTGGGCTAAGAATGACATATTGCTCAGATGAACATCATTCTCAGAGGCTGTGAGATTTTAAAGGAGCAAGCCGCTGGCTATTGCTCAATGTAGTCACAAGTTCTTTGTTACAAGACAACATATAGCTTTCTAATCCACAGACATTCTCCACAAGGTTTATTTTGTTTTTCTAACCTATCACCTTTACTTCTGTTACACTGCGGATACTTTTACGCAGTGGGCTACTATCACACATATACACATATACTTCCATTATTACTCTTAAACTATGCATTACTGTGTTACAGACCCTTCACCATCTTACCCAATATAGTTTCTTACTTACTTAAGGTATATTCTTACTTACAACTATAGAGACACAAGTTTAATTTTTCTACTTAAGGTCTATGTATTTTTTTTTCACATCAATCCAAGCTCTTTCCAAGGCTGCAGATCAAACCTCCCTGTATCTCTGGAGGTTTCTATCTTTCCATTTCCCACAGTGCTACTAGTCGTCTTACACGTTCACCCTGTATTAATAAGTGGAATACTCATAAAGGGTTAAACATAGTTGAAAGTTGTGAATATTTTGCAATATGCATGATATCGTGAATACCTAGATATGTTTTATATACACGTAGTTCCTTGTCTGTTCTTGTAGTTCTAATTCTTCACTTCGTAAATACCTGCATCAAATGATAGTTTTGTTTAGTGGCTTTAACAGAAATTGTGCCCAATTGTTTTAGCATCTCTTGCATTTTTGAATATATTTCCTTACATGAATGCTCAATGAACTGAACTCAGGAGTAATTGTGTTATCCCTGTAAAGAGATAAAGTAGCTGAGTATTTGAAGTCTGTTCAATAAAGAAAATGTTATCAATACTTTCACTGCTGTTTTAAAAGGTTCCAATCTCATGGACCAGAGATTCAAGGCATCTTGACAATGAGTCAATACAATTAGTGTCTTGAGGTATTTAGTACTGTCCTTGGGTTGTGATGGGGAGGTTGATCCATTTACAGGATCACTTAATATCTAGGGTTAACAGGGACCTCAGGAAATTATCCTCTCTTTTCCTCATGCTCAGTCAGGCAGGGCCATCTAAAGCCAGTTACTCAAGACCTTGTCTAGACAGCTTTCTAGTATCTTCTGCTAGGATAGCAGAAGGATGGAGATCCCATGCTCTCTCTGGGCAACCTGTGCCAGGGCTTAATTACCTTTGCAGGAAAAAGGTGTTTCCTTCTGTTCAGAGGAAGGGAACCTTTTGTGTTTTCTGTTAGTGCCCATAGTCTCTGGTTCTGTCACTGGGCACCACTGAAAAAAGCCTGATTTTGTCTTCTGTGTAGCCTCCCTTCAGGTATTTATATCTATTGGTAGGATTCTCCTTCAGGCTTCTCTGCCCCAGGCTGAACAGTTCCAGCAGTCTCAGGTTTTTCTTATGGGTGAGATGCTTCAGTCCCTTCATCATCTTCATGCCTCTTTACTGGACTCTCTCCAGTATGTCCATGTCTCACTTGCAATGAAAATTCCAGAACTAGACACTACGCCAGATGGGGCCTCACCTTTGTTGAGTAGAGGGGAAAGGTCCCCTTCCTTGACCTGCTTGGAAAAAAGTCACTTTTTTCTTTTTTCAGGAATCTAACTACTGCAGGAAAGAAGTCACCTTTCCTTGTCTCTAGTTATAATTTCTCTTAGTAAATCATGATTCCGCTGGCTATTTCCATTCCAATTAACTGGTCTGTGTAGGACTTTGTTCTTGTTAGAATGATGTTTTGCTTTTAGTCCTGCTATCTTGATGGATATGATAGCATTGGTTATTGTCTTTCTTTTCACTCATGATAAAAGTTATTTTGTTGACTATGTTTCAATTGTTTTATCTTAGTATAAATCTAGTTTTTTCCCCCCCAGCTTCTGTCTCAAATGAGAGTTCATGCTGGATTCTGGACGTGAATCAGATGTTTATTGGCAGATGTTTTCCTGACATTGTATTCGAAGTATAATTTTTTTAAATTCTTGTAGAGTTTCAGTAGGAAAGGTTGACTTGAGGGAAGGCTTTTTAAGAAGTCGCATTATCCTTCATTCGGAAACAAAAAAACCAGTTTGAGAGATGTCTGCCTGAGAAAGGGGGAAAGAGGAAGCATTATAGGACGAGGGTAATTTTTTTACTGTTTTATACATCTTCCTTAGATAGAGTTATGTCATTGAATAGTACTTGAATGCAAGTACTCAAAATCTGTTTCCAGTGGAAGTAAGTAACTGACACTGTCACATCTCTTCAGTCATGTCTCTGTTCAAATTTACACTTGCAATTTTGTAAACAGAGTGACCAAAAATGGTATTAATTTATTTTTTCCTTTGGTAGAAAATAGATGTATTACTTTCAGTGCAACATCAAAACTATTTGCTGGCAAAATTGCAGATTCACTGCTTTCTCAGAAAACAGGGGATCTGCACCAGTATACTAAGAGTTTATCACAAAGCAAAATGTTTGGTGAGATACTTTATTGAAGAATTTAAGGAGGTAGCTGAGACTATGCAAGTCTTGTTGCAGCTGGAAGTTAATACTAACTTGCATAATAATTTCCTGTTGTTCTCTGACATGTAAAGTTCTCTATTTATAGTGACTCAGCAAAAAATTAGTTGACTGATCCTTATTCTTTCACATACTGTAAATCTGGTCATATACTGTAAATACAGTTCTAGCAGTTGCTGTACCTGAGAATAGTCACATCCTATTTTCAGAAAAGATTACTAGTTAATCATACAGTGTTCATGTGTTTTATCATTTTTTCTGTCCTGCTGAGTACTTCATTTTTTAATTGCTCTTCAACATGTAATACTGGCATTCTGCTCATCATTAAACATGATGGAAAATGGAGAGTATTCTTGTTTTGTCAAACTCCCTTGCATAGAAGGTTCAATTAAAAATGCTTTACCAAAAAACCCCTATTTTTACATATTTTATCTTGACATTTCCTTCCTTTTTAGTGATTAAATTTAAAATCAACTTCAAAGCAGTCTTAAATTTAAAAGCAAGATTTCAGGGAGGATGTTGTATTTTCAGCATAGTAAATGGCAGTTGGGAAAAATGATAGCACTGTCTGCTTCTCAGTGATTCTCCTGTGTAGATGTGTATGAGTGAGGATCGTGAAGTAAAATTCAGGATAATAAACTGATAGTTTTGATACAACTTTTCTGAATAATCCATATTTTTGTTACTTTAAGTATTTTCACATTCTATTATACTGAGTGTAGAAGACTTAAGCAAATTAAGATATGCTTAGGCTTTCTTTGTAGCTGGACGAACAACTAGTTTTGAATCCTACTCCATTGAAGAGCTAATGGTATACTATTACTCATGATTATCAGTTATTTTTCTCTTGGAAATTGCAGAATCTCTCTCTTGCCAGAGGGCCTCTTTCTATTAACTCATTTGAAATTACAGGTAGCAGTCAGCTTTACAAATAATTGTAAGTAAAAAATAGTTTCTGTTAGACAGATGAAATTGATTTGCAAATAAATTCAATTTCAAATTGAGGGGAGGAGGGCTACAACTAGAACAAATAGAAAATATACAATTCTCTTTACTGATCTCGTTTATAATTCGGGAATACTTTTTTGTTACAAATTATGGGAAATTTCAGAGAGATAATAAGCATGTTGAATAAAGAAGCTAGGAAAGAAAATCGTGTTCAAGATGATTTTCATTGGCATTTAATTTGGAAATGGATTATCAATGTTTTGAAAGGCTTCATCTCATGCATCATGAGGTGAACTTTGAAAACACTTTTTGTCTGCCACAATCAGTCACTTCATCTAGTTTTGTTCTCCATGTAATACTGAGATTTTCCTGTATTTTGTTTTATGTTCTACTGAAGTCCCAGAAAGAGTTTGGTTTATTAGCAACAAATAATGAAAAGTATAAAAATCCAAAGGAGTCTTAATAATAACACTGACTTGCCTAAATCTGACCTTCACTATATTCTGCACTAGCTTCACTTTCAAATATCTGTTAATCCATTGATGTAACATCCATACTTCTGAGTTTCTTTCTTCATTTCTAAGAGAACTTCAGCACATAGTTTTTTTTTGCCATTGATTCTTTCAGACTTGCACTTATAACTGTTTGCTCTGTATTCTAACCTTTCTTTTTTCCTATTTTGCTGTTGCAAATATAAATTTGTTGTTCCTGTTGACAAGAGCTAATGAGTTATGTTCAGCAATAAAAATTTTATTTTAAAAATAAGTTTTGTTGTAAATATTTTTATAAAATTTCCGTTGCTTATAAGGGGAAGGGATTTAATTGAGGTAATTTGTTACACTTGTATTTGATTTACCTATAGTAAAATCTCAATTTGCTCTTATCTGAGATATTTGGTGTTGAAACTTGAAATGATGTTTCTCTGTTTTGGTATGCCCCTGATAATTTTTAGAGATCATCCTAGGCTTTCTTTAAATAGTAACTTTAAAAAACTGTACGTGACATTTGTCACATTTTTGTATTGATATATAGGCAGCAGTTAAATCTAAAAAAGCAACAGATACCTATAAACTCTATGTGGAGAAGTATGCTGCATTAAAATCTGATTTTGAACTGAAAATGACAGAAACAGCACAGGTAAGTGTTGCATTAAATTAGTTACTTTTGAAGTCGATTAATGTGTTCTGTTTAATTTCTGGAGCCATCTGAAATTAAAGATTAAAAAAAACTAGTCTCTTTAGAAAATTATTTGTTTGAAAGGCAGGCACTGACTATGTATGTTGTGATAGCACTATCTTTCAATGACACAGTGGTGTGCTAGCATTCTAGAAGGTGATTTGAGGAAATTTTTGGAAGAAAGCAAAATGAACTTCTGGAATTATTGTATAAACATTGTGTTTATATGGAAAATCCTCTGAATTGCTAGGCACCCTTGACTCATTTACAGGAATTTTAATATTGGGATCCATTGTGGCTTTTCATTATTATTCCATTGAAATGCTAATGTTACAGTTTGTTAAAATGCCTACCCAGGTTTTACCTGAGGTTATGAAAAGCCATTACAGCTGTTCAAGTTTCTGTGGTTTTTTAAAAGACTATATTCTGGAAGATTTTAGGTTCTCTGTATCAATGCATATGCCATTTCTTGCTACATTTTAAACCACATTTGGGCTAAATTTGTCCTTAGCTCCTTAACTGTAGCTATCCTTTTACTTAAAATTGAAATTTTCACTTAATGTTATTATGGACACTTGTAAACTTTCCACATTTGTCCATATTGGAAATGAAATTTGTCATTCTGCCAATTAAAGATGTATGTGTGGAATTCATTTTAAGTATAATGGTGTACCTGCATCCATACTTTGGTTGCACAATGGCTACTTTAAAGATGATGTGATAGGAAAAATGACATCCATGAATATATGGAAGCCCACTTCTATGTGAAGCATATCCTGTATTGTCTTAATTCAGCATACATTTCATTTGAAAATATGTTGATCAGTTCTGAAAATTAAACAGTAAGGAGTGTGAGTATTTTAAATTCTTTCAGTGCAAATTCAGTTGGTTTAGCTTAAATCTCTCTTACAATATCCAGTAAAAGAAGGAAAATCATAGGGTAGCCTACAGAGGATGGCAGTATCTTCTGTAATTAAGATGAAGGCTGCTGAAGAAAAAGAAAATCATATTCATCTCCCTGAGTGATGACTACAGAGGTACATAAGTATGGCAGAAGATTGAGGGTCTAAGAAGCTAGAGGTATATGTCTTTTATGCATGGAGTCGGGTTTGTGAATGAAAGTAGCAGGATGTTCAAGATTGGGATCTTCACAGAACCCTGTGCAAATTGGAGAGAGGATTAAGTGGTGCATCAAAGTTTGGACACACTTGAAAGGGTAGTTACAGAAATAGGCAGAGAACTAGGAAAGAGCAGAAGTAAACAAAGATTTCAAGACTGTTATGGTTGACTGTTGGGGAGGATGAGAACATTTTTAGTTCTGTTTTTTGGCAGGAAGGGGCCATTGAAAACTTTGGAAGTGATTTTAAAATGGCCATCAGCTGACAGCCTGGGTAAAAAGGAACAAACTGTAAAAAATGTGTATGATGAGTTTAAAGATCAAACAAATCATATTTAAAGAAGCAAAGAACATAGATTTAAGTAGAGAGAGAGTGTGTATGCTTAGGCGTGTTCTAAAAAGGAAGTGCAAAAGCAGTTCCAGACATAAGATTTCTTGGTTTAGATGAAAAAACAAACTTTTCAATTATGGAGAAAAGAGGAAACTTGAACACTTTCTAAATATATTTTGGTAGAAATAGATCAGATTTTTTTTTTAATAAGGTGATAAGTTCAAAAAGATAAGGTGAGAGTTCAAAAAGTAAGTTTAAAAAGTTCAGTAATGATTCTGAAATGATCGCTTGCTTTCTAAAGTTCATTATTTCATAACTCTAACAAATTCTGCACCTTTCTTAAATGTAATTAATATGTTTAAGATGTGGAGAAAAAAAAGAGGCTTATTTGTTATTTTTTCATTTTATTGTATTTAATTATTGAAATTTAAGATTTAGTGTTTCAGGAAATATTTTCATTATGATTAATTTCTCATATTTGTTTGCAGAAATTTCAAGACATCGAAGAAATGCACCTTCTTCGAATGAAAGAGATTATACAGTCATTGTCAAATACCATAAAAGAAATTCATTTACAAATAGGAGAGGTATTTTTGACTATATTTGGATCATGCTTTATGTTTTTCCTTAACTATGAAATGGAGTATTTCTTATTTTGTGAAATTCAACATAAGGTCAAATTTCCATGGCTTCCTGTTGCAGTTTAAGTTCAGTGTCACAAAGTTGACAGAATAAGACCGGATACATTTTGTCATCAAGAAAAAAAAATTAGGACAATTTGAAAAATTCAGAAGTTGAAGAATTTTTAGTGTATTTTTAAATTCTGCTTCCTGGATATTAATTTAACACTCATTTCACACAGATTTAGGTTACTGCTTTTTAATTAGAACTAGAAATTATATCACTCTGAGAAGTTTCCAAATATTTTATACTCTTGGATTTTATGAGCAAAAGATATTTAGTAACAGAAGTTTTTATAGTATCTTTTCTTTAGATAGAAGTTTATTTAATTAATAATCTTTATAAGCAGTCCTTTTTTTTTATGAGTTGTCACTTTATTTGCTAACACTTTAGTATTGAGGTTTTCTGCCAATAAATGATCATCACAAGGGTGATGCTGTTTATTTCTAATGTATATACACATCCTGCCTTGTTGGAAAACCTATTAACAGCATGTTGTTGGACAAAAACAACATGTTGCTAGACTAAAACTATTACAACAGTAGCGCTTATTACTCAAGCAGGTGGGAGTTGTGATAATACAGTAGTAACAGTTCACACCCTAAACTGGTGCTGGTTGAAAAAACTGCCTGTCTTCCTGACATTATAGTGGGATATGTTGCCAACAAATTAAAAAAGTATATATATACACAACTTGTTTAACATGGAAGAAATAGAAGTAAAACCTAGATCTGTCATTTCATTTTTTGTCTGTAGTGTACCCACACTTGCTAATACTACAGAAAGGAGAAGGTTTTCCTAGGTAAAATATCTGTTGATTTCTCTTAAGTCCTGTATTTTATTTTAGAGTGAAGGTTTTTGAATTTTAACTGCACCAAAAGCTACTTCTTGAAGTTAATCACTGTTTTTTTTTGAAGGTGCATGAGGAGTTTATTAATAACATGACAAATACTACAGTTGAGAGTTTAATACAGAAATTTGCTGAGTCAAAAGGAACTGGCAAGGAAAGACCTGGTAAGAAATTAAAACTAACAGAATAGGAAATCTTGGCTTTAAAACTAGAAATTTCCATTCCTAATGAAATGTCAAACTCATATTTGTTGATGTGCTGTATTTTTAACATATGTTCAAATTCTTAGTATTCATTAACTTTGATATTATGGTTTGTAGAAATTGGTAATGCAGAATTCATTATGTGCATGTAGTATTTGTGTTCATAATGCTTGGTAGTTTATTGGTCTGTACTACTAAACTATGCAGTTTCCTGGAACATCAGGGAAATTGGTCAAGAAGCTGTAGTTCTTTGTACAAACTGTGTATTGTCTGCTATGTGTTTCTTGTACAAACTGATTCTGCATAAATTGTACTTCAGAACTTCACTAAATATAAACATATTAAGAGCAGATGTCTATAAAGCTGCTTATTGAACTATTGGAACAGTTGCATCAGTTTGTTCAGCTTACCAAATTATCATTTTCATAGATACACAATATCTATTTTTTTATAAAATGTATTTTAATATACAATAATGTGTATTGCTTCTGTAGTAAGAAGCAAATTGAATAGTACTTTCTGACTGTTGATTGGGTGAGGTAAGACTTTCCTGGACTGGCATAAAAAGGCGTTCTCAGAGTATTGCCTACATAGTGTCACTTTAATTTTGGCATGAATATATGGTCACTAGGTGTGTAAATACAGGAATTAGTAGTACTGTTTCCTTCAGTGGTAGGAGTCCTCACAAGCATCTCTGTTTTCTAGTAGAGGCACACAAAGATGTTGTTTTTTTTCCTAGAGCAAGAATGTACATACCAGAGTAGATAATGTAAATTATTAATGAATTGTTAAATATTATTAGATATCTTGCAATGTGTGTGTGAGGAGTTTTTAACATAACATTGTTTCATATTCTTTCTGTGATCATGTAATGCTGATATCCAAGTGGGCTGAGGTAAGATTACATATGGAAAGATTCCTGTGTATTTATCAATTTCTCAGTAAAGGTCAAAAAAGGAAGTTGAGTTGATCTGAAACAGGACAAAGACATGTGACAATTTGGTGATCAGACCTTTTGAATTAGCTGTTGCCAAGATGTCATGGTGAGGGATCTCCATCTTGCATTTAAGGTTCTGACTGCCTCGGTTACAAAGACCCTTGCTAATTTGTCTTAGAGCATTGCACACTTCAAGTCATGCTATCTAGCATGGGTTATGCCAGACAACATTGTATTTTTAGAGAAGTAATGCTTCAGTTTATAATTTAATGGAGAAATTGCACACGTTTTATACTTACTTGCAGCTTTACAGTTCTTCAAATCCCATGTCTGCTCTCTTAGGACAAATAAAAAACTCCAAATATATTATAAGAAAGTTAAGCAAAGTATTTCAAGGAACAATAGCACATTTACTGTGTAAATGTATGCACCTTGAATTTTCTTTTACCATATTATTTTATTGATATGAACTTTGTCAAGCAGTTGTGGTGCAGGGAGAAAGCATAGTCAAGTTCAGCAGCAAAAGAACATAAATTCACAAGAAGTTTTCAAGTGTTAAAGGCTAGCAACACAGGCTTCTAATGACATTAATTATGCTCACTGCTTCTAATATGTTTATTTTATTAACTTAGAATCATAAAACTTTGATAATTCAAAATGTTTGGAACGCAAAGTGAGGTATCAGTCTTCTGAGAACGAAAAGGAAACAACCACTCTTAAGGACTGCTTTTTCGTTATTAAACTCCCACTTTTTTGCATCTGAGAACTGTTCACAATGAAAAGATAATTAATGGAACAAATGTTGAATGTCTGTGGGATGTATTTATTAATTAGGTTGAAGAAGGAGATGGCTCCTCAGAAAAATCTAAATATTCAACATAAGAAATGGTACTGACTTGGCTTACAAAACAAATGCAGAAAAACTTTCTTCTGGATGTCACTGGTGGTTGTAAATTAAATCAGTTTAAAGGCAATATTTTAAAATTCCCCAGGACTGTGTAAGCCTTTTTAAATAATTTTCATGTTATCTGTGAGATGGTGATCATCTCACTATAATATGTGAGATGGTGGGTACTTTCAGATAAAATAAAAAGGCAATGCAAAACAAAGTATTTTAGTATATTTTGCTATATTCTAGCTATTTATAGTTAGTGACAACAGAGTTCACTTGCTTTTATTTATTTCTGGAAAATAAGAATGAATCTGAAATGAAGAACTGATGAGAACTACAAACCATTTACAGTAAAGTTAATTGCATATCTGAAATGTGTCTGTACAGTGATGTCTGTTTTACCAGATCATATGGGCTCCCTCTGGTGGCTAATTTCTGTCACCAGGAGTCATAATGTACAGGGGTATCTAGAATTCAAGTCTTTCTTGTACAAATAACAGGTTTTCTTTCAAGCAGTAAAGCTTTGTGAGAGTTTTTTAATTCACTCAGGAACTTCTTTACAATAGCTCTTTTTGCACTGCTACCTAAATAATTATCTAGTCAGCTTTTTAACCTGCTTCTCACTGCATTTGTTTTATTTTTTTCTTTATTAAATCAGTTTAGAATTTAGATTTTTAACAACACAATATTTGGAGAAATAATAATTTTTGTTTTCTGACTTCCATTCAGTGGGGAAAAAAAAACCAAAATGAAAGACCAAACCACTTACATCCACTTGAAAATCTTTAGTTTTAACTGAAAAGAAAGTTAGTGTAAAACACCAAAGAACAAAGCTGGCAGGACCAGTAGGCTTCAGATCAGAATTTAATGTGTTCCCTGAACTGCCTCTAACACCCAGAGGAGCCAGGATGAGGTCAAGGAATGGGCCCATGTGATTCTCATGAGGTTCAGCAAGACCAAGTGCACTTTGTTCAGAGCAAGCCTGGCACCAGCACAGGCTGGGCCCAGCACAGGAAGGACATGGAATTGTTGGGGTGGTCCAGAAGAAAGACACCAAGTTTATTAAAACACCTCTCCCATGAGGACAAGTTCAGGGAGTTGAGGCTGTACAGCCTGGACAACAGTACGCTCCAGGAATAGCTGATTGTAGCCTTCCAGTACTTAAAATGGCCTTATAGGAAAGACGGGGACAAGAAATTAGAGCAGGTAGTGATATGGCAAGGAGTAATGTTTTTAAACTAAAACAGAGTAATTTCAGACTAGATACAAGTAAAAAGTTTTTTGTGATGATGGTGGTGAAATGCTGGAACAGGTTGCTCAAAGTGGTAATTTTTCCATCCATGGAACCATTCATCATCGTGATTGACAGGACTCTGAGCAACCTGATGTTGTCAAAGATGTCTCTGCTTATTGCAGTGGGATTGGACTAGATGAGCTGTGAAGATCCCTTCCAACCCAAAACATTCTAGGATTCTGTGATATGCTCCCGGTGTCAGGATTAATAGCAGATTTGATACAATCAGTTAGAAGACGCTTTAGTCGCTCATATGGTCCTGCAATGTTCATCAAAACTTAACCACTTCTGATTGATTGGTTTCCTGTTTGTTGTAGACTGTTGCTTCATATTCCTTGGAAAAATTAATTTATTGTATGGCAGAAAATATCTGCTTTTCTTCCAAAGTATATTTAAATCAATAATGGAAGTGATACCAGAGTAATCTTCTTCCAGATTAATGAGATATCAATGAGCTCTAGCTCTAGATACTTAATCTATTAATCTGTTAAAAATTTGGTTTGTTCTGGTGTGCAATGTTGGTGCACAAGACGTAGAAGCTGCTAAGAAGTTTAAGCTTAAGCTCAAGTTCTTTTTAGATTTTATATCTGAAATTTTCAGAATAATGTCAAATGTCTTTTAAGAGGTTAGTGAATGCCTGAATATCTGTAGTTAATAATGAATAACTTTTAATTTTAGTTACTGAATTACCATGTCCACTTCTCGTATATGGGGAACTAAATGTGTTTATTTGTTCCTGCATTAGTTCTTGCCCACTACACAGTTCACTTCGAAGCCATCCTTGAACACTTTCAGAGATAAGGCATCCACAGACTCTCTGGGCAACCCTTTCACAGTAAAGAATTTCAGTACCCTCACAGTAAATAATTTCATTCTAAAATTTATCCAGACCTGTCCTCTTGCATGTTAAGGTCATTCTCTCCTTCCTATCACTACATGCCCTTATGAAAAGGCCCTCTCCAACTTTTCGTGCAGGCCCACTGTAAGTACTGGAAGGTGCTCTAAGGATGCAATTGGCTTTCTGGGTTGTGAGTGCCCATGGCTGGTCACAGTAAGCTGCTTGTCCCTGAACACCACCACATCTTTTTTTCAGAAGGCTGCTCTCAACCCATTCTCTCTGCCCAGCCTGTATTGATGCTTGGGATTGCCCTGACCCAGAATCCTGCAGTTGGCCTTTTTGAATTTCCACAGTTTGCACAGGCCCATCTCTTGGGCCTGTTCTAGTTCCCTCTGGGTGGCATTCCAATGCCACACAGCTTGGTGTCATTGGCAGACTTGCTGCGGGTGCTCCCAGCTGTCCATATCACTGACAGAGATGCTAAACAGTACCGGTCCCAATACTCCCCCCTGAGGAACACCACTTGTCACTACTTTCCACTTGGACATGGAGTTTTTGATGGCAACACTTAGCCAATTCCTTATCCACCACGTGGTCTGTCTGTCAGTTATGTGTCTCTCCAGTTTACAGACCAAGATATCATGCAAAACAGTGTCAAATGATTTGCAGAAATCACAGTAGATGATATCAGTTGCTCTTTGCTTATCCACCAGTGATGTAATTGCAGAAGGCCTTTGGCTTCATCAGTTTGTTGTGGTATCATTATTTAGTGGTTGTTGGTAGTTTTTTCCTCTTTCAAAATATTGAAGATGAAATCAAGACTTTTACTGTAATGCAGATTGAAAAATGGAAAGCCATAATCTTGTTTGCTCCCTTGTTCTGCAATAAAACAATGATTTGCAGATGACAATTACTACATATGCTGTGGCGTTATTTAGTGTGAGTGAGAGAGGCATTGGGTCATTTTCAGCTATAGTAATTTTTTTTAAAGTATTGGTTT